TGGTTGTTGAGGCTGGTCCTGTCAGCCTTGTCCCATGCTGGCTTGCAGATATCCAAGGGAGGAGAGGAGAGACATTTCAACATCCCTGTCCTCCATACCAAGCCCTGAGCACCTTGTAGCCACTGCCTGGGCCAGGGGACATTTGCATTGCAACATGTCATGGACTTAAATTAAACCTCTGCAATTTCCAGGGCAAGCAGGACAGCTCTTCCCTGAGGACACATCTGCCTCCCCTGCTCCACAGATCTGCTCAGTGAGGCAGGCCGTGGTTGCTGAGCTTAGCCACCATCCTTTTTGTGGAAATTCAAGTCACTCCCCATGGTCTGGTCTCTGCACCCTGCAGAAAACACAGACAGAGCCCTGCTCCTTGCTTCCCTTCTCACACCCCACCTGGTCCATCTTGCATCCATGCCAGCCAGCTGCAAACCCCACCACGGCTCTTTGGATCTTTCTGCCTGGATTGTAGATGCAGGGTGAAGCCTCTGTGGCAGAAATGCACTCCCCCAGCACAGCTCTACCCGCAGGATGCTGATAACCACCCTGGCCTCTTGTGCGTGGAGCATCCTTTTGCCTCCAGGGATGCAAAGTGCCATGCATTATGGAAAGAGATACATCAGATCCCTCTTCTAAATCTTTCCTTACTATCTCTGCTTTCCTGCGACTGCCTGCAGAGCTATAGATGGCCAGACATCATCCCTCCCATTGCCACAATGCTCCAGTCCCCAACCCTGGAAGAGGGCTGTGATCTGCCCCATCTCCTCCAACAGCTCATTTAACTAATGAGCTATTAACTAACCAATAGTCCTATTTAACTAATGAGCTATTAACCAACCAATAGTCCTATTTAACTAATGAGCTATTAACCAACCAATAGCCCTATTTAACTACCTGCATTGCTGCCCAAGGCTTTGGGTATTCAGCGAAAGTCCTTCTAGGGGGCTCAAGCATCACGGGAATCACCCCCTTGGCTGGCTGTGCTCCCCACGGCCCCATACTGGGGTCACAGCAGCTGCTGCAACCAGCCCAGCCAGCACCAGGCCTTGCAAGAGCATCCAGACCCCAGCTCCTGCCAACGCCCGGCACCACTGGGTGGCTGTTTGTCTGCCTCTCTCCTTTGAACGGAGTTTCCATAGGAACAGGCAGGCCAGCAGCCCTCTGCAGCCTGGTTCTGGTGCATTACCCAGCGTGAAAGCTCCCAGCTGCCCAGTGTTGTCCGGCAGCTGTTCCCACACCCCCCAGCGCCCGCTCGGCAGCGGTGATGGAGCACTGGGGGGCCACTGGGCTGTGGAGACTGTGGGGCTCTGTCACCCACACACTGGGACCTGGACAGAGCTACAGATGTCCTTCCTTGCCACGTCACTTCCACTCCCTCACCTGCAGCATCTGAGTGCTTCCCGGCAGAGCGATGGGGGCCGTGGTAGAAGTTTGCCCCCCTGTGCTGTTCCCACCCTGCTGCCCTGCTCAGGTCCCAGGCAGGACAACGAGAAGCCCGCTCAGCCCAGCTGGTCCCCACCATGACCTCGAAAGCATTCCAGATCCCCTGGGTGAGGGTGCAAGGGCCCGTGGCCGTGCTCAGCATCCCCTCCCGCTTGCAGGGACGGAGAGGTGGGTCCCTGGGACCCATCTGCGTGTGTGGCATCAGCCCAGTGCTGCGGCCGCTCGGTGTGGGGTTGGCAGAACAGTAGCACAAGTGGCTGTGCGGGGGGCCTGGATCAGGCTGGATCTGGCTGGAGGAGGAGGCACAGTGCATTTCCCAGACCAAGGCTGCCAGCAGAGCTGCTGTTGAGGTCCAGCCAAAACCTAAAGCCGCCTTCCCCAGCTGGGAGCTGCGCAGCTCCCCTTCCTCCCTCCGCCCCGTCCCCCCAACACCCGGCTGCAGCTGCCTCTCCCGACACTGAAGGGCGCTCTCCGAAACTGCGGCTGTTGCAGTGCCTGGAAGGATGATGAAAAGGCTCAGGAACCCCCAGGCAGCTCTCCCAGTGCCTCCCAGTGTCTGTGTGTGTGTGTGTGCCTGCACGTACCTCAGCTGACAAGGGGCTGGGGATGCCTTGGTGAAGGAGATCTCCACAGGGCATCTTTAGGATGGGGTCTTGTCCTTCCAGGAGGTTTTTCAGGTGGAAGGAAACTCCCTCACTGGTCATTTCCTTCCAAATCTCCCTTTTCCCTGGAAGCCAGATGTTCCACTGCAGCTCCTGAAGAGGCAGAAGCTGCAGGTCTCTCTCGTTGCTTCTTCCCCACCAGTTCAACTTGTTTCCCCATTTCTTCCCTCATATCACATCCTTGTGGTGATGTTGGGGAAGTCTTGAGGGGGCAGGGAGACTGTGAGGGCAAGGAACAAGATTAGATGAGAGGGGGTAGAGCATGGTGGGCCACACTGGGAAGGGGCAAGGGATGGAGGGCATGGAGCAGGATCAGGCCCAAACCCAGCTTTTCCTGGGCTCTGCTGGATCGAGGTCCTGTTGTTTTGGACAGACTGAGTTGCAGCATAACCAAGCCATGGTGCAACGGGGTGGGAACTGAAGGTACATGATACCTGCAGCAGATCACAGGGACTGCGCTGTGCATGGCCCAAGAGATCCCAGATCTGTGGTTCTTGCAGGTTGAGGGCTTCTCACTATCCAATCCCACCCTCCTGGATTTAACCTACCCACAGCACGCCAGGTATTCCAGCCAGGACAAGCTCCTTTCCTTGTTCAGGAGCCATCCCCAGCTGCTGTACACTGTAGTGGTGTAGAATGAGAGGAGAGAACATCAGTTTCAAGACCTCTCCATTCAGAGCTGAAGGGTCAGAATAGGGCATACTCTTTCCTCTGACACCCAGAAGTGAGTGTAAAAGGGCACTGCGTAACACCGGGACCACTGCTGTGACTTGAACTGGATTTGGAGCTTCATCTCAGCCCCAGAGCTGTTGGAGCAAAATCCTTCTGGACATCTGTGAAGGGGAAAGGTGACCTTTTGTTTTATTTGACTTTTGAAGACGTGGCTGCCCTGGCTCATCCTCTGCATGACCACAGCACGGTTTGGGACCAGAGCAGAGCCTCCCACCTGTGCTGGTCACAACAACACTGCAGGCTGCAGCCTTTCCTAAACGTGTCTCCATGAAACCTTGCTTTTTATTCTTGTTGTCTGCAAACCCAAAGTGTTTGATCCAAGGAGCAGATGGGAACAGCCATGTGGGCAGGCTCGTGTGGGGACCTTGCATGGCATCCCCTTGGCATGGGTACCAGGGCAGCTTCTCTCACACTCTCACACCCACTGGGGCAGGATCTGACAGAGGAGCTAATGCTGGTGCCCCAAAGCAGGGAAACAGCTGAAGGACTGAACAAGAGGAAAGGTTTGAACCTTGTTCCTTGAATAGCTTCTACAGAAAAACTGTTCAAAAATCAGGCACCAAAGGGAGGTTTTCAACACACAATCACATTTTCACCTGAGTCCTTTTCATTAAAACATATGCTTGCAGAGAAAATTTTCAGTGCTTCCTCTGAAAGAAAGGAAGAGCGATGAATTAAAAAATGCCACTGCAATGTCTCCCAGCAAAGGGAGAGCTGGGTTGACCCTGCCATGCAGATGAAGAGTGCAAACCCAGCACACCTGCAGGGCCAACATCTCTGTGTCTCTGAAAGGAATCTGCCCTCCCCAATAGTCAGACTGTAATTTTTTTGCCAAATAGCTCAAATATCCCATAGAAACAAATGTTCTGATTGTACTCATGTGCCACTGACTGTTGAACTGTTATGGACCTGGCAGCAGTGGCAGAGATTTACAACCAGAGGAGTTCTGCTAGTTGTTCCTACACGAGACCACTCTGCAAGAGTCCTTTAAGACATAGAAGCATGAAAATAAGCGAGGTCAGGGGCATCCAGGGAGAGCAGCTCACTCAGCATCCCAGCCCAACCACAGCACAAGGCATCTTGCCTTGTCCCCTCTGTCACAGTGCTGGACTCCTGCATTCTCTGCCCCTCAGCTCAGCCAAAGTTGAGTAACTGGCAGGTAAGTCATTAGTGGGGCAGGGCCTCAAAGCCTGGCAGGGAGCCAGGGCATAAAAGCAAGACCCTGTGACGGGGATGAGAAGGGACCAGTCCTGGCTGATCATACCTGGGGCTTGGCGGGGACTGGGAGATGCTGCCCCAGCCAACATCCCCAGCAGCCAACCCAGCAAGGCCAGGTTAGGCACCAGGAGATGTGGGTTGCATGGAGTTATTGTTCCATGGGAAACTGGCTGTCTTCCTGCTCTTCATCTGTCAGCAGGATTTTCAAAGAATATGCTCTCAAATATGAAGTGAATGTAGCAGGCTGGGCTGGAGCCCTTTGCTAGAAAACCTGGACGTCAGAGTGTGTCCGGTTTAATCCCAGAGTCTGTGAGAATCAGTGTAAAGTAGCATATCAAGTGAACTTTTCACTCTGTGGCAGGGGGGATTACCACATCCCCTTTGTTTGTTGTGCACTGCAGAACCGAAAACACTTTAACCCTTTCTTGCAGCCCTGTGGCACTAAGTACCCATGAAAATTCCTAGGAAAACTGCAGCTGTTTCGCTCTCCGCTGGCTGGGGGAGATGGGTACACTCATTTTCCATGAGCCATCACTCCTGGGCTCCCTCTTGGCTGGGGAAATGGGTCCTGCTTTAAAATGTATCCCCACTGAGCTCCTTGGGAAGGTTTTGCAGCAGGCAGTGCAGGCAGCACCAGCTGCTCCCGACTCCTCATAGCCCTGGCCTGACAAAACCTCGGAGGAGGCTCCACTGGTTCCATGGACAAGTGAGTTTTGCAGCTACAGAGCAGCAGTTTCAGGCCTTTCAGCACCCACACAGCTCACCAGTCCATCATCTTTTACAGCCCCACATTAGCGCAGTTCCAAGGAGAAAAAAAACTACCCAGGAAAATCCTGCCAAAATATTAAAGTGAGATCATTTCTATTAGAAAATGTTCCCTGTAGAGAGGCAAATTTTGATGTGAAGCAAATCAGAAAAGTTATTTTGCTTCAAAATGAATGAAAATGTGAATGCTGGCCTCGGAGAAGTTTCTTTATTTCTGACGAGCCACCGGTTTCATTCCTCCTTCTATCTTGGTCCTTTTCCATTTGAAGTGTCTCGGAATTTCAGCAGTGCTTTCCTGCAGTTGAAGAAAAAGAAGGGGAAATAAAATGGGGAAAAGGCAGGGAAAGCTAAACTCCGGACATGAGTCATCTCACCGCCCTCAGCAGCAAACTGAGATGAAAGCAGGAAAACTTCCCGTTTCCAGTTTCAAAAGAAAGGCTTTGAGACGCAAACTGAAAAGCCGAGTTTGAAACACAACTGGACTTTCCACCTCGTCTTGCAATTTCCCACTGGCTGTTAGAGGCTTTTTTTCTGGGGAAAAAAAAAAAAAAAAGGCACATTAAAATAAAACTTTGTTGGTGGGGGACTTTCTCCTTTGGGAATTCGGTGGTGTCATCTCTGCAGCAGCTTCTCATCAGCCTTGAGCTCACTGGGTCGACCCCACAATTGCTCCTCAGGATGCACTTTCTATTCTCTCTACCCTGCACTGTGACCATCACCTGCCATGTTCCACCTCTTGGTCACAACAAGTCCTCCCTCCAGCTCCGTCCTCTGGGGATGCCCACTGAAAAAGAGCTGGGCAACCCTCCACTCACCCACTGAAAGAGAATTCTTTAAGGCCAGTTCAGGAGTTTTCGGGGGGTATTTTAGACATTTCACGTGTTTGCAGCACAATGGTGTTGGTGTCCAGCACTACAGGAGGGCAGTGCAATGCTTTCAGGCCAGGCATCCAGCCCAGCCCAGCACCCAAGCTCTCTAGATAGGGCTAGGCAGTGTGGGTCTCTGAAGAGCAGTTCAAAACTTCTACACGGGTCACCTGCTGCTCCACAGAGCTTATCCAAAGCTTAACAGCCCCTAATGCTGCTTCCAGACTCCCCCACTCAGCTAGGACATGCCTAGGGCCAGGCACTGAGGGCCATGCAGAAGGTTTCTGCATCCATCCCTGCAGCCAAACAGAAACCCACCCTCACATCTTCCCCACAACAACCTGGGTGCAGAGCATATTGACTCCAGCATATGAAGAAATCCATCCACTCACCTGCTTCCCAAATTTCCTGAGCCCACAGTAGCATGGAGAGTCCTCTCCTCACCCGGGCTCCAGGGCAGGTGGGTCCTTCTGAATAAGCAGGGGACAAGAGAGGACTGAGGCACCGAGTCAGGGTGTGACAGAGGGTGGGGAGCTGGTGAGGCAGGCCAAGGGAGACATGCAGCTGTGGCCTCTGAGACCTGGCACTAGCACTCTGCAAACCCTGCTGATCCAGGGACTTTCTGACCCTTCTTAGCATCACCATCGCTCTCCTCTGCCCCAGCCCCAGCACTGCTGACCAGGCTCTAGAGCTTGACTTCCTTCCAGTGGGGAATGAATATTGAGAGAGGTGGACCAGGATTTGCTGCTGCCCTTTGATACAGGCATCAGCCTCACCCTGGCTGTTTGTGACTGGCAGTTCCGTGCTCCTGGGGTTGCCACAGAGTGGAGAGACCAGGTGGGAAGGTGAGGAAGGGAAAGCATCCATTACTACAAGCTTCCCTCATAGGCTGAGAGCTTAGCAAAGGCCTCTGCTGTCCATCCTCATGCCTCGGGGAGGGGGTCAGCAAGGCCATCCCAAGAGGGGTGTGAAGATGCAGCAGTAAAGCCGGGCTGTCTCAGGGGATCGCAATTTTCCTGTCACCGAGGCATCAACATTCAGATGATGAGAATTTCTTGTAAAAAAAGACACCAGACTGGACCCAGGGTGGGCACAAAATGAGGAGAAGCCTGGCCTCCACTGTGCTGGAGGGTCCTCAAATCCCTCAGCGGATTGTTGCTATGGTTAATGCCCTGGGTGATAACATCTCCTCATTTCTAGTCAGATTTTGCTGAGCTTCAATTTCAAGGTCTTGTTATACCCTTTCTTTTTTCTTTTCTTTTTCCCCCCTAGAAACTGAAACAATAATGCCCCAGCAGGAATCTCTTCCCCCCGGAGGTGCAACACAAATTTCAGAGACACAATTTCTTAAACATCTCTTGCTGCAAAGCTGGTCCTGCTGCTGTTTGGTGACCTCCTTTTGAAGGCTCCTCATCCATCCACACTTGCTGCTGCCCCAAAGGCAAGGCACAGCCAGGCCATTGTCCATCTGTGGCTTTGCCACCCCTCCCTCCCTATTTGCCTTTGGAAAAGATTCATGAGAAAGTCTTTTACCTTCACAAATATCCCCCACTGTTTCAATAGCTCTGATTGGTGGGGCAACTTGATAATTTTTAAGAGGGTCCCAATTCTCCTTCACTGGTCTCTCCCCTTCTCCTCTCCTGGGGGAGTATATTGTGTTTGCACGTGGCAGATGCTGTTGGTTAATAGCAGCAGGCACAGGAGTGAGTTCTTCTGTGGATCTGTTCTGAGTTAGCATCAGGTCACTCTTCCCTGCCCAGTCAGGGGACACTTCTCACACCCCTGTGATTTGGTCTTTTAACAAAATCCCATTACTTTTGTCTACTCCACATTTTCTGCTTCCATTTTCCTAAGGGTGGTTGTGCTCAGGACCCTCTGGGTCTTCACGTCTTCCTATCTGGATGATGAGGCACTGGATACCAGATCTGAACAGTGCCCATGGGACACTAAATCCATCCATCCTCACCTCCCTGTTAGCTGGGACCTCAGCAGTCATGGCCAGGCACTGGAGCTGGTGACTCAGTCGAGTGACACCAAATGCTCCCAGAGATGCCCAAGCCTACTGGTTCATGGGAATGCCCTCTGCTCCAGTTACCCCAGGAGTTCTTAAAGGTGGGACAGGCAACAACTGCGCTCACAGAGCTACTGGGGGAGGCAGATGGTGCCATCCTAACCATTTCCATCAAAGGCTTCTTTGCCCTGAGATGATGCCAAGCCCAAATGGATCCTTGCATTTGGTACCTGCTTAGGCTGTGACAAAACTCCTTTTAATAAAGGGATTGAACCTCCTGTGTTGACTCTGGAGCACCACTCCCATGGTGTCATTCTCCATGGGGACCAGCATGCCCAACACTGCAGCATGTGGAGTCATAGAAGAATGGCTTAAGAGAAATGGCCTGAGCTCACAAACTGCAGCATGAGCAGAGACAGAATTTGATGCAGAGCATGGGAAGGAGGGTCATGAGACTGTGGAGGGCAGACTGTGAACCCACATGAGTTTAAGTGAGCGAGATGTGCGTGCCTGGGGATGGATGCAGACATGCCCAAACCCAAGAACACGTGTGTGCATCAATGGGTTGTACATAAAGTGTGTTGAGCCATAGGGACAGACATGCAACAAGTGCAGAGTAATTTATGTGGGCTCTGTGTGGGGCACTGCATGTGCCATAGGATATATGGTGGTGGGACGTGTGTCCAGCAGGGACGAGGAGGGTGCAAGTTCATCAGGCAGGACCATGAACACACACACACAATGGTGAGCTGAGTTTGGGAACACACATGTGAGGGCAAGGGGGAGAGGAAGAGGATGCCGCACACAGATAGTGCTCAGAGACATTGTGGATTACTGCTGCTAATACCTCTGCTAAGAACAGAAGTCTGCTGGCTGGGAGCGGGAGCTGAAAGCTGAGCCCCTTGTTATATTTCCCTGTTCCCGCCTGCACTAATCCCTTTGAGCCCCAGAAAAAAACTGCAGAGAAATCAAACAGGCTGTTCATGCCGCCCCAGCGTCCCCGGGATTAATTAATTTGGGATTTGTAGGGAGTCACAAGGTCACGCTCCCCACGCTGGCAGAGCTGGCTCTGCGAGGCGATGGCAGGGCTGGGCTCCGAGTCTCCCTGCCCAGGGAAAGGCCCCATCAGCCATGAGCTGGAGCAGGTCCTTCAGACAGCCCCCCTGGGAAGGTGCTGGGCTCTGGCCAGGGCACTGACCCAGAGTTCCAGGGCATGGAAAGGCATCGGGGTCAGGAGGCTGACAAGCAAGAAGCGTGTCCTCATCCCAGAGATCAGCCTCCAGGTAGGGGCACCCACTTGGATGGGGTCCTGCCTGCACCTGGCCCTGTGCTCCTGGTCTCATTGTCAGTACACATGGCCTCCTGTTCGGGCCAGCACAGAAGCAGAAACACACCAAAGAAGGGCAGAGGCTCCAAAGAGATGGTTTCAGCCCAGGTGTGACCCTCGCCATCCTGTGGGATGAGAGGATGGGGCAGCAGGGGCTGAAAACCAGGTGAGATGAGCTGTTTGCCCCACCTATCAATTCCAAGCAGGGAATTATTTTGAAGATATTGTCTCCAATGGCAGATCCCCAGTTCCCACCACTAGTGGTTACTTAAATTATTCAGAAATTTGTTTTCAGGGAGCAATTTAGCTTATGATGTGGGTTTTCTGAGTGTTTGCCTAGAAAAGTGCATTCTCGAGAGAGCAGGTTGGCGCCAACGCATTTCAAACTCTAATTGAATATTTGTGGTCAATTGTTTGGGTGGTACCTGCCCAGCATTCACAAGGAGAGTTTATTTATTCTCACCCAAAGGCACTTAGGGATCCAGGACCAGCATTTGTCCCAGCTGTGTTGAGTATTTTGCTTAGGTCTGGATGCTTTGCAGCCTCTTGGTAGCAGGAAGGCACAGAGGTAGGAGCAGTGGACCCGGGGTCATGAAAGGGGCCATGAAGGAAGGAAAGTGATTTCTAGTACCTGCAAGGAGAATTGGGAAACCTGGAACTTTCCTTTGGTGCCAGGGTTGGAGGGGTTATTAATTCAGCCCACTAGCTCCTAACATCCAAATGAAGAGCAAGAAAGAGCATCATGAAGACGGTCCAGGATCCAGACCTGGTCCTCACCCCCGACTGAATTGCTCCTTGCCACACTAACACTGAATCCCTTGAGTACAGACACTTTGAAGTGCAAGATCCCAGCTGGCCTCCTGTCAGCCTGCTGCAGGAAATTTCTCCTGAGGCTTTCAAGATCTTAAAGCAAATGGGCTGCCTCAGGCACTGGCTGGTGCTGCCAGGATGAAGAACTCTGCCCAAAGCTGACCCTTATCTCTCCAAACCAACATGTCCAGCCTTGGCTTCCAGGTCTGTGCTTCCTTCTGTCCCATCTCTGCTCCAAACCTCCATCAAGCAGCTCAAAACTCAAAGCTGTCAGCCCAGCATGGACAGCTTGGGGTTGGCAGTATGGACAGGATGGCAGCCCTCTGCCCAGCTCCAAGGAGTTTGGAGTCAGACATGGCCCTGGTGGTAGGGGAAAGCCCTCATCAAACACACAGTGCCTGACCTTCAGTCCCCTGGCAGCATCCCAGAGTTATCCCAAAGTGAAATGATGCTGTATGGTGGGATTGGAAAAGTTAGCCAAGACTTGGTGCAGAGTCCATACAGAGTGATAACCTTGGGAAACAGAGACAGATCAGCCATTCAGCTGGATGACTCTGCCTGCTTTGATGCAATGTGTCCTCTTAAAATGAGAGATCCTCCTTTCCAGTGGTCACAGAGATTTGTCTTCCCTGTAGTCTGGCTGAGCTGGAGTCCAACCTGAGAACATTGAGGCTGCTGAACAGATGTCACTCACACCTGGGTGGAGCAGTGATGTATAAAGCCCTTGCCTTCTCCTTGGCATGGGCAGCTCTCTGAAGTAATAAAATACTCAGTTGTCCAAGGTACCAGGCTCCCCGTGCTCACCAGCCCTTGGACCAGCATAGGCCTCATGCTGCTTGTACAAACCTCTGATCATAACTCAGTACTGTCCTCTGGGCTTTTCCTAGCTCTCCTCCATCCTTTCTGACACTGAACAATCTGTACCACACACAGCAACAGTAGATTTTCTACAGGGCTGGAATACATCCCATTTACTGCACCATTTGTTGCATATTGTTATCAACTCCCTCCTGAGCTTGCCAGGCCAGATGCTGAGGGTGTGTGATATGAAGGGTCTTGTGCAGTATCTAAAGGTGAGGCCTGGAACCTGTGGAGTTACAAGCAGCATCATCAGCAGGTACATTCCCCAGTGCTCTGAACTCGATGGAAAGCTGGGCTTACAAGGGTCGTGCATTGAACATTGTTATGGTTTAGTTAACAAGAATATTTTCTTGTTGAATTTCTTCATATCATCATGTGGTTCTGGAGAAGCATGGGGGACACCTCCCCTCTCTTCCCCCCATGCAGGGCAGAGGGTGGGGAGGGATGAAGACAAACATGG